TGAAATGAGTAATTATGGTGTTTATATCTTCATTGAGCAATTATTCACAGGATATATCATTTACTAAAAACATATCAGTTGATACTCATAATGAAGAAAGCTGTGAAATGAGGAAGGTTTTTCTGGAACTGAAATGTCTTGATGGTTCAACACTCATTGCAGCATCCTTACCAAACAGAGGAATTCGAATTGATGACTCAAAATGGTGTTTCTCCTATTAATTGTTCCGCGAGTTCAATTGACAAGCTGAAAATTGATGTTCTACAGAGTGAAAATGAGTTGAATGACAAATTGGGGAAAAAACATATTTCAGATGATGGTTTTGAAGAGCAAAATATGTTAGGAATGTGTTAGGATTTGATGCATTCAGAGAATATTCAGATATTAATTTGAAATCCGATGTTCTCCTCTCAAAATATTTGCTTTGAAGTCTATGATTTAGATCGAGCGCAATACTATACAGCACCTACGTATACCCAAGTTGAATTTGAAATATCGAGCGATATAGATATTGTACATTTCTTCAATGAAGAAATTTGCGATGGAATAAGTTAGTGCAGCGACAAAAGCCATTTTGCAAATCGGAAATTCCTCCAAAATTTCGACCCTAATCAACCATCATCATCAATTGTATATTTTGATCCAAGAAGATATACGGCTATATCATGTCACAACGTCTACCAACATGTGGTTTCAGATTGTTGACATCAGAAGAAATGCTAAAGTTTGATATTATGAGTATTCCTCATGATTGCTCAATAGGGTATGTCATTGGAGTTGACGTATCCAGTATCCTGAAGAACTGCATGATATTTATTTATTTTTGGCTTCCTGAGTTGAATCCATGATACAGCCACCCTCCAAATAAAGAGCAACTTTATTCTTCATTTCGGTATACATGTCATGCAAATCGCTTCTAAAACAATTCATCTTCGTGAATATTTCGCACCTTTCTTACTATGTTTTGTAATCAGATAAAGAAAATTGCTGTTGCACTACCGATCCTGATACTCCTTTGGGGTTTTTTGATTCTGCACCTACTGATTGGACGTAGTGAGTTTTGGCACATGTACCATAAAAACTGATTATTGTATCGTTGGAGTATTCGTCCTTCATATTTCCCAGAATCGATCTAGTCACGGACATATTGCATTTAGTATTCTGAGTTTAGTTAGATGTATCGAATTCCTTTTCATCAACTTCCATGGAGTCATAAAAATCATCGATACTGATTTTCAATATTGATGATTCGATGTCGGTATTCAGTAGTGATTCTCTATCACCAAAATTTGCCTCGATGAATTGATGATCAAAGTCGTTACTACCCGTTTTTGACGAGTCTAAGAGGCAAATTCGCAAATAGAATGATCCATTGTTATTCACCTCGACTCTACCAATTCGACTCGCAGGAAAGTTATCTATGGATGAAGAGGAATTTTCAAAACTTGGTCAAGCTATCGATGCACGAGCGCCCATACTATTTCGTACGCTCTCCCATAGTGTGACCAGTTTGATACCTCATTTTCCATTAACAATCTCTATCGTCTCATTATGAATTGAATCATTCGTCAATTTGAATTGATTGCCCTCGAATTGTTCAGCACTGATATAGCGCATTTGTGTATTGAAATTTACATATTTCGTTATTCTCTGGTTCTGATCAAATGACAGTATTCTATGAGTTTTCAATATTTTTGAACCGTTGTTGATGGCTTGACTCTAATTCTTGTAGTTGATGATGTACTTTTTTATGTCGTTTGAATTGGACATGAGTTCATGGGTTTTTGATTTGGGGCGTGGTGATATCATATATTCAACTAAGGAAGGCAAATCTGAATGGATATTATGAGACAGTAAACGTCAATTTCATGGACATACCCCATCGAGCTATCATTAGGAATATTCAATATATCGAATTTTTGCATTTCTCCTGACGTCAGCCAACAGAAACCCCGATGTTGGTAGAGGTTGTGGCATACTATGACCGTATGGATTTGAAGCATCTGAATATACAATGAAAGATGATGATTCGCTCAGGTCGAAATTAGAAAAGAGTTCATCATTTGCAACATAGCTTCTGTCGCTGCACTGACTTATTCCACCACGAACCCACCACGAACTCCTCTCTTGTAGACATGTTCTATATCTATATGTCTTGATGAATCTAATTCAACTTGGGTATACTCTAGTTCAGCAACCCAGGATAATTCAGGTGTTGTGTAGTATTGAGCTGGATCTGAACCATAGAATTTGGAACGCTATATATTTCTCCTCAGTCCAAGGTATACCATCGTTTTATTCATCATCAACACTGCCTGTACATTATTGCTCGTTGGAGAGATGAACATTATAATCACTCATGTTATGCGAATTGATTGAAATGGAACTTGATTTGAAATTCTTACTACAAATGGAATATGTGGCGCCGAATCTTTCAAAACCTGTGAGATGGCAGTGGACACGAGCTCGTACATCATTATCATGAAAAGGTTTCTCGGAGATATCACAGTCATTTTCATTAAAAAAGTTCAACTCTTGTTGGGCCGTTAATTCCTCTATTGAAACAACGTGTCTCAGATATGAATAACATACGTTCTTTGATTCTGCAACTAATTTATAGATGAAAACTTTTCCTGCGTCCTCACCTCGATGAAAAAACAATTCAGACTTGGAGTCATCAGAAGAACATCTGATGAAGAATTAAATTCAATGCTTTGGCCATCTTGAGAAAATTTGGATGGATACTAATGTCGATGAATTCCCCATCCAACAATAATGACTATTACCAAGATCATTTGTAATGAGTTGCAATTTTACTTGTCAACCTAATGTCTTCTGAGAGTGATCTGAGGAGCTTACTATTCCATATTTAATTTTGTTATCATCAAAGATATTATCTCACTAATGAACATTGACTAAGCAATCAGTCAAATCCTTGAATTCAGAAATATCGCTTGATTCAACTGGGAAATCATATCCGCTATCTTCAAGAATATTGAATAATACGTATGAGATGATAATTCGTTAGCGCCTGATGTTGTTGGATGAAGCGCGGACGTTGCCGACCACGCAAAACAATGTTGATCTTTATTGTTGACATTCACCACTGCACTCTTTCTCACTCTACTCTGGTAACTTTCTATATGTACTCCCTCGCAGCGGAAATCTCCAAGAATAAAATCTTCTGTAAAGCCCAATCTGGAATTCAATAAAAAACTATCGAGTACTCTACTCATAGAAATAACAAAATATTGGTACCTGATGAATTATCGAAACTCCAAAGGTCATCGAATTATCTTGTCTGTAGTGCAATTACTATCGCAAAATACTAGGTGAAATATAATGGTAACGAGAAGAGTAAGGAAGTTGAATTTTCAATTCCTTCAAAAATATCAAACTCATTAAAACTGTTGCGTAAAGCACTTTTGTATCGAGGTAACCCACAGTGACACCTTTGAAATCAGTACTCTGAATAGAATGATACCATAAGAAGACTATTGTTACTGTTAACTCAACCACGAAGTATCATTGAAATTGGAAGAATGAAATATGAGTAACTGGAATTCTCATCGGAACATTCAATATCCTGTATGAAAACCATATTATATGTGGCTGATTTTTCTTCAACTTACCGGAATCACGCTTTTCGAATGCTGTAGAATAAGCGAAGAGAATGTATGTGAATTCATCTATAGACTCATCCAAATTACTGAACTTGTCAATAATATGGTTCGGCGTGCTGAATGATTCGATATCACGTAAATATTTTGTTTGAAGATAACATCATCAGAAACCTTAAGTGAATTCTGATTATCTAATGAAGACTAAGATAATGATATGAGTGTTGCTTTGAGAAAAAATTGTGAAATCAGGAACTACTTGATCTGTACAATTCATTCTATTTAACATTTCGAAGCGCTATTAATGAAATAAACATTGTCTGAATGGAAAACGCCGGATTTGGAAATATGTTCCAGCGATCCCATATGTGCACTCATTTTATCAGCTGGTATCAATATATTGCAGATTTTGCAGTTTTCCATCCTAGGAGGTTATAACTTATCATTATGTTGTATCAATTTTCGCTCACTTTGATGGAAATATGTCGAACATTCGATATGCTACTTTACCCCACGTGGATATTCTGTTTCTGTATCAATATATATCCAGGAACTAGTGAACTAGCCTATTGTAGATTGCACTATCAACTGAGCAGCCAATGGTAAACCGATTCTCTTAACATAATTGATAACTTGTGATGGCTTATAGAGTCGCACATTCATTTCAGGAAATAGGCCATACCAACCTCTCTCTATTATCGATATTTCAGTAGGTCTCAGTTTTGATTTATTCGCCATACCTAGGTTATTCCTAGAGCTGGAAGTGAACGCAACATAGTCAGCACACTTTCATCCATGGTAATTTGCTCTCGAACCCCAGCCCAGACATCTAGCCTAGTAGTGGTTATGCTGTCTATTCTATCGAATGTAATGGAGTCATTATACATAAACCTGACACAGATAATCAACTCTTTTGACGCTCTTTCGATATATACATTGAATTATATATAATATCATTGTGTTTACTTTCAAGGTACCTATCTTATAAAAGTAATTTGCCTTAAATGATAGATTATATTCTCGTTCTCTTGATATCATTCCATAGTAGGGTTATCAATGGAATACAAATACTCTACGGATAGAAAAACATGTAGGGATAATGAAAGAAGAGATACCATATAACTAGGAGTGGTGTACCATATTGGAAAAACTAATAACAAGTATAATATCATCAGAAAGCGTAACCATTAAAATACGCTTTCTAGTGGCATCGGAAAAAACAAATACTGCGTAATGGGGTGGTAACAAGTGCAGGGTACTTAGCAAATTTAGAAACGGGGGCAATTGAGGAAATGGGTTTGGGGCTTGGAGTGCCAGTGGTAGTGAGTATCGTGGAACCTGTAGGAACCCTCTACTGAAATGAAATTTCTTCATTTACAGAAGTCACCAGTTACCTCATGTTCCATCCTCTGGTTCATATCTTCAGAATGAAATTCGTCGAGGCGAAGTCAGAAAAGTTCCTGAAAGATGAGTTTCTGAAAATAGTGGACTACAGGAGGAAAAATAATATCAGTGAACCTGATTTCGTCGACATTCTAATGAATTTGCGGAAGAATAACAAGAGCGATGAAGTAATAATGGGTGAGTGATTCTAGAAACAATATATCTGGTCATTTGAACAATAACTATTGCTCGCAACCGCACCATCATCATTTTCTTCTGTGTATTGTGTGCAGGCTTGTTGCCAACCCCATGCGCCACTTGAGAAGCAGTAGTTTCGTTCGGAACGCAACAGAGAATTGTGCAGGACTATCTCCGGCCGATGCTTCGAAAATTAACGATATTCAATTCGCAAATTGAATATTGAAAGAAGATTCCTGCTCTGGATGAGAATTGAACTCACAATCTCGCGGTCGTGAGTCGGGCGCTCTTCCACTGCTCCAGTCACGCTGCTCTCAATGAGCATGGATAGCATAAGCTTAAGATATATGTGAGAATGCATAAATGCAAGATAATCTTGATCGGTCGCATACCTACGCATCGCTTCTTCACAAAGTGACGGATTTCGAAAATCAGTACTCATAGTTTATATCATGAAGGGTGAATCCCCTATCAATGAATTCTTGAAGACTCAATCTAGGGGTCACGACTCAGAAAATGAAGCAAAAGATGTTCCAAGGGTGGCTGTTAGAAGTCAATATATCGTTGAAGGGTCTGGTCGTCACATCAGCGTGAATAATATGTCTCTGGTGAACAATTCTTTATTGACAATGCCGTAGTTGCAGCATCCGAATGCTACATATTTATCACTGGAAGAACCAACAACGGATCATCACCAGAAGAATTCTGATTCATGGGAACTGACATTCCAAAATATTTGGAATAATGCAGTTATTCGTCTCATTTCATTATAGGTACGTGATATCTGAATGAAACATGACATTTAGACATGCTATTGTATTACAGTTAATTTTCAACAGTGATTCAAAAATTTTCGTCAAAGATAGCAAAACAATATATGGTCAAAATAAGGAGAATTTCTGACATACCTACGAAGATGTCAATGTGAGAATACTGTATCGACCTAATGCACTGTAGCTCCTTCAAAACTCTAATTGGTGATAGATACATATTCTAGTAATCGTGGACGATCTATTACCAATATAATTTTTTGAACATGAAACAATCATGTGAAATCAATCAAACTGTGATTGTAGTAGTAACGTGGCAACTAACGGAATCTCAAGAACAAAATTACTCACGAATTTTCTTAAGGACTTGAAAAAGTACATCAAACATCATATATGAACTATGAGCTATTAATGTTCTCCATAGAAAAATTTTACTTTCACAAATGGTTGAATTTTTGTGAAACTGTGAAATTATTGAAAAAAAACTGATATCTGTACATATGAGTACATGATAGATAGATAGATAGATAGATAGATAGATAGATTTTATTTATCCTTTGTGCTACATCATTTATAGACAGGACAAGCCACACATAATGGTGAAGGGTACAAAACAACAATTTAAAAAAATAAACAAATATAAGTATTTACATAGAAAGACATACTAATAATTTGATTTAAAATATAAAATTATTCAAATAGTACCTACAGCGACCTTGAATTCATCTACAGATAATATCTACTATTCAAGTAAAAATGAGGCAAACATATATTTGCTACTGAATTCACCATAAATAACTGAACTGATCAGAAAACAGATACTTCTGCGCCTGTTTCATGAATGTAGTTATAACTCATACAGTCTTGTTATAGTCACACCAGCTTCATCTATGTATTTCATAGGTACGTTCACAGCCAGCACTATGAACCAAAATTCTTCTACACCACACTCCTTCACCAAACTACACGGTCCTATCCATTCGAATGATCTAAATCATTGAATCAAATTTGTACACGACCACCCTTGACCAAGAACAAAAGTGAACATGAATGCAATCCGTAGCGATATATCAGCCCAAAACTTGATGGAAAACTGAAGCGACCCCAACCGAAATGAGCCGAATTACGATTGTCGAATAATTGTCATATTACCGTCATACATGTGAATTGTTAAAGTTATTTGCCAACGTACAGTGCTTGGGACCGAAACAGCTATGATTATCGGGACGAAAATTATCTCAATTCGCCAATGAGCATATTTCACAAAACGAGTTGAGTCAATGATATATCTAAATAGACAAGAATCTATAACATACTCATGATGTCATAGCACACTTGCGTTATGATGGGAGCAAATGTACTTCAAAGGATATAATGAATTTTTTGAGAAAGCGATTCTGATAATCACAGAATGGAGAGAATACCAACTGTTGTGAAAACAAAATGATCAGGAATAGGGGATTCCATTTATGAGTGTTATCACAATCAATCAATCAATCAATCAATTTATCAATCCTTTAGAACTTACAAGAGTTATAGGACAAGTCAACAAAGTAGCACACAAAATAAGTATTACACAAATAATAGTGATAAAGATAATGATACAATCCTAATTAACAGTAATAATTGTTGTTTTTTTTTCAATCGAATAGACAATGACATGTATAGGCAGAAATATAAAACTGCAATAAGACTTTATAATAATTCAAGAATAAGATTCACACAGACATTGAAGTAAAGTTGGAATTTTGAAATTGAAATTAATATATATTAACCAAGTGCTCCTTCAAATTCTTGTATAGAGTAAGGACAAAGATCTATGAGGAGTTTGGACAATGCACGTTTGAATTTGCAAACAGGCAGGATAGTTTTCAAGTTTTGTGGTAGAGAATTAAACATGTGGACACCTAAAGTGTTTGATGACCTTTTGGTTAGTTCCAGGTGCGTGAATGGCACATGGAAGTCCTCTCTCTTTCTAGTATTGTGAGAGTGCTTATCACTATTCTTCTTGTACAAATTTTGATTTTGATGGACATATATGTCATAAGTTCAAGAATGTATATGCCGGTGACTGTTAGAATTCCATTTTCTTCAAAAATGTTCCTACATGAGTGCGTCAGATATGGTCGATATTTTTAGTATCCAGTTTCTCTTAGTGCAAAAATAAGGTATGTTTTGAAAATACTACGATATCCGGAGAACAACTTCATTAAAAACGGAAATAACTGTGCTTGGAGTTGAAAAAAAAACACATGTCAAAGAACGCTACATGAACACAAATAATGAACGAACGCACGCGATAGGCGCTGCGAATTATCCGAAGTTGATCAGAACCTGATCGGACATCTTCGGATTCATAAAGCTCTCGGTGTGGCTTCCTAGTCAGTGGTGGACTTGTTATCCTATTATCTATTCGAAACCAGTGTTCTTGGCATTCCTATTCCGGTACTAATTTTCTAAACTCGCGCTCTCAGTTGGGTTCCAAGTTGTAACAAAATTGTTGTCGTCGCGTCGGATCTACTGGGAACGTGAGCAGAGTCAGAAAATAAAATAGTAGTTCAGAGAACTGAAAATATAACACTGTTTTTTCAGACAGCCCAACTGAAAAAATAGAAGAGGATATAGTGAGAGGAGGGTGTTGATAAATTCACGACAAAGAATAAACTGATTACGGACGTGCTAGTATTTTATAGGTTGTGTATTCATCAGAACAGTTTTATTATTATGTGCACTCCAGTGCTTTGAAGAGTACCTTTATTTTCAATTGCTTTGAAAATAAGGGATACTTTGAAACCCTAGGGATTCGAAGTGAATTCTTTCGTAATGAAAGCTAAATTCAGAAATGTGAGGGACCTTATACCCCTCCCCTGAAGTTTCGGAATATAATCTTGGTTCCTGAGTGATACTGGAATTCTTCACTAGCTTGGTGTATAAATCACTATTTCTTCATTTCTTGAATGAGTATAACTGGTCCGGCACTGTATTTCTCACAAGCGATTGAATAGACTCTTCGAGGAATACTCTATAGATACAATTTTCATTGCTATCTAGGGTTCGAAGAAAAACATGCATGCATAATCCTAACTCTCCTTCGATTTTCTATTTCCCTCATTCAAATGTGAGGATAAACCCCACAAACAATATGTTGAATTTCTTGAAGGCAGTGGTATTTTCATGGTACTCCAATTCGCGGCGTTTTCGGGGATGACATGATGAGAAAATCAACGACAAAGAGTTAGGACCCCTACCTACAGCTCCAACTATACGAGGTGGAAAAAATTTCAAATAAAGAAGCTGTGGCGTTACGTTCCATCTGTATTATATTTTGGCACTCCTCTGATAAACAAATTTGAATCGCTAAACGAAAGAGTAGATTCCAAATCAGTTTCTTCAACCCAACTGAAAAATGTTCCCCTTCTGTTCACAAATATATATAGTTTGATAATGTTTCCTCAAGCTATTCACTACTTATTCAGCATTGATTAAAAGTAATCAAACCCATTCCGATGGCTGTAGACATATCAGAACTGATATGAAAACGAAACAAGCCATCTGATGTCAGTTCATAAACAGAAATGGGTTATTCTGTACGAGCCAGTAAGGTCAAACTATGAAAATATTGCAGAAATAACAGAAGTAAAGCAAGTCGAGAACGGTCAGAGAAAACAATAGAATGTTTTATATATATATTTGTGAGCAGAAGGAAACGATTTTTCACAAAAGTTGATAATATATGGGATGTTCAATTTGAAAATGTTGTTTTGGATTTTTTTTTGCGATCCGCATTTTCTTATTCGAGGAGTACCGAGAGATTGAACCCTACAATTCCACAAATGATATAGTTGACCAAATCTGTTTTTTTCTGCAGATGACGAAAAGATGGTAGCAATGGCTATAACATTCTTCATAGCAGGATTCGAGACAACTAGTGCGACAATGTCGTTTGCTCTTTATGAACTTGCCAAACATCCTGAGCTCCAACAACGGGTACGTGAAGAGGCCACATCAGTATTTGATAAATATCAAGCAATACCTTTCGAAATCATCACTTCTGGTATGGAATATACAGAACAAGTGATGAAAGGTAGGAATCAGAGATTTTTTGTTCACATTTTACCTTCATAAATCATGTTGCTGGCTTGTTAAATTCCAATGGTATCAATTGACCATTTCTAATCATCATCCAATGATCGATAATCGAAAAAGTATTATTGAAAACCAATGATACACAAGATGAGAAAAGATTTCCAATCAGTCCAGAATCAACTGAAATTTCTATTTAGTGGCAATACATTATTTATATTATTAGATTTGGAGGGTACAGATACCTATCACACGCATAAACACAAAATACCAAATTCATTTATTCAAACTTTGAAGTGAATTCTGAACAGAAGCGATCACGTGTACAGAACGGCAGAAACCCCAAACTTATCAAACCAATCCAACAACCCGAATGAATCTCGATCAGTCGGCCGGTAGCAGTTGTGCTCACGTTATTCGTCAATGCATGTGTCTTATGAGACAAAAAGAGACAAATTTCAGGCAAATAAAAATCGAGTGTTTCTGGTGGAAACTAAAGAACCTGCAACGTGGGGAATAATTATTCAAATATATTTCGAAAAGATCTTACACGGCCAATCCTGAAAATATCTCCACTCTCGGAGTCCAGATTCCATTATTTCAGCCACTTCGCTATCACTCCCCAGCATTCGAGGGTTCGAGCAACTTGTCATGCCCTCATTTCTGTTCAACACTACAACAAATGAACTGCAGATTTTGTTGCAGATTTGTTTTTATTATCATTATTGTTTTTATCAAGCGGGACAAAAACATTATTGTGAATATCAAAGAAGAACGGGGAATTTGAGATCAAAGCAATCTGGCATTCATATCGAGAACTTGTATAAGAATCATAATAGCATCGGATATAAAACGTGCGGAGCGTCATAACTTTCAATGCAAAGCGCGTAATAGGTTTCAACACAACATGTTCAAAGCATCATGGCTCTCAACACAAATCGCATAACGCATCATAGCTTTCATCACAAAACGTGCAGAGCGTTGAAGCTTCCAACACAAATCACGCAGAGCGTAACAGAGCTTTCAATACAGAACGCGAGAAGCGTGATAGTTTCCAACACGAATCGTACAAATCGCGATAGCTTCCGATACAAGCCATGCAAAGCTTGACTGCTTTCAACACGAACCGAACGAACCGTGCAGATTTCGACATAAACCGTGCCAAGCATAGTAGTTTTCAACACCAACCGTGTGGAGCCCAATAGCTTTCAACATGGACCATGCGAAGCATGATAGCTTTCAACAGAAACCATGTATCGCATTATAGTTTTCAACTCGAAACTTGCAAAGCGTCATAGTTTTTGACACAAAACGTGATATTCGTCATAGCTTCTCACACAAATCATGCGAAGCGGTATATCATTCAACACTGACCGTACAGAGCGTGATAGCTTTTAACACAAACCGTGCAGAGCATAACAGCTTTCAACACAAATCGTGCATAGCGAAATAGCTTTCAACACAACACAACAGTGTAAAGCGTAGTAGCTTCCAAAACATACTGTTCAAAGCGTGATAGCATTCAACCCAAACTGTGCATCGTGTGATACCTCCCAACACAGACCGTGCAAAGGGTGATAGCTTTCAAGCCAAGTCGTGCAAGCGTCATACCTTGCAACTCGTGTCAAAAAATTCACCTCATATAATCATTTTCCAACAATTTGACTGATTCAGGCATATCCATCGTCATTGGCCAATCATTCGGTCATTCTCGTAATTTCTCTTAGGCAGTCAACCAAGTTCTGGGAACTCCTAACAAAACCAACCTCACCTAGCAAAATTCTCTTGATCGGTCCAGCTGAACTTTTATCTTATATCACACAATCCATCCAATCATTTTATCGCATCTGTTATTCCAGGTTGAATTATAGCAGCTTAAGATTCCTTAAATATGATTTCAATTCTATCAACGTTATATTTGACAGCTTATAGGTCTGTGAGTCGAACGTGTCTCCAAATAACATAATTTCGAAATCTAGTATAACGATAACAAACAGGCACTCGTCCAGTATTCATTGACAATTGTGTTAGCAACAGTAGTTTCATGAATGCAAGACTACCTTAGCAGTGCTGAATATGCTTCCTTACCAAAAATGACAGGCGAGCACGCCAAACATGTTTGAGTTCACAGATCGTTCAGTTTGAATATAGCAAATTTTTTCATTGGAACAAAGTGATTTAACTCGGCTAACTAGGTGTATGATAACCAATATTTTTTCATGGATTGTTCAAGTAATAAACTTTATCGAGGGGCATACCAGCAATGTGAATTCGTATACCGATTCTCATTAATTCTTAAATCAAATTCTACAATACCTCGTGAACCGTCAAAATTTTCCAAATTTCCCAACAATGACCCAATATACCACTATACTTCAACTAGATGCTTGGAATCAAGGCTTCCTTCACGCAATAAATATAGAATATGGGCAATACGAATGGATCATGTGAACAATACATTCTGAAATACCCAAAAATGATGATAAAAATTCCCGATCAGAGCACACCTCTGCAATAATTCAGTAAAGTTCTAAAGAATATATTATGTCACCTGCATCAGAATCATTACTACTTAATACTGTGTTTTTTTTTTAACAGAATTCCAAAACAGGTTTCACGTGGATCCCATTTCACAGTAAATCCGGTATTATGTGCGTCTCTCTCACTTGATAACCAGTCAATGACAAATTTGGATTTTGATGAATGAATGTAATGAATATATTTATATAAGAGGGGATGATAATCTGAATAGAGTATTTCAACTTTGCATGCACCCAACTGATGATTATCAGAATGAAGAAAAGTAGGAATAGAACAAGGAAGAAGGTCATGAAGTGGTAAGAAACCATCCCCACTCCCCTGAAAATACCCGAAGGTGTTTTCGGAACTAGCAATTGCGGAGTTGGCACAATTCAACCAAAGGTCTCTTGAAGATACCTTATTTGGATGTTTTGACAACACCATTCATGGGAATATCGTCTACTCCTCTGATAAATTCTAGAATTCGGCTATTCAAGGAAAGTTGGAGGAGTTGTCACTTTTGATCAGCACCATGACTCCAGCAGCCACTGAAGGCTTCGACTCATTCCCTTTATTCCCCTTATGCATAGTAGGTATTCGGTATTCATGATTTTTTCATATGTTTATTATTTTTGATAAATACTGCTCCACCACCAACAGTATTTGTGGAAAGCAACAATGAAAGTTTCGAATCACCAAATTCAGAAGGAATGAATCCATTATCAATCCAACCTCCTGGTTCAGCTATGTCCAATAGTCGATACTCATGTTGTTTCACTCACAGAATGGCTCGTAATAGTTGGAGTGATATAAAGAAGTAGGTATGATGGATTGAATCATATGGTTATCCGAATAACTCACGAAAATTGTCAACACGATCGTATGATTCGGTGAACTTTTCGGCACTGATTTCACCTGTATATCCACACTACGGCTCCTGCCTGGTATTCTTTGGAACTGAATTCTTGTGAGGTTCTTGGTGATGGGCGAGATTGAAACGCAATGAATATAGAATTAACGTAAAAGAAAATTCGAATTTCGGCGAATTAATGTGATGAATATACTCTTTCTTGAAAGAAAAATAATATCAATCGGATATGTCAAACTTACATGCACTCATCTAATAATTATCAGAACTGAAAAAATCAAAAATTGAACAAAGAAGGAAATTATTGAGTGGTTACAATCCAGCACTTTTCATTTACTGACCAAATTATATCCACAAAAATAACAGCAAAAATGCATTTCTCATTCAAAACATTTTTAAATATTCCAATGCGGCATCGAACACCTGAAACCGAAATATCTAGAAATCGGCTTCCTTCATCAAATACTCACAAGATTACCTTTCTTGCGATATTCACATGATATTTCATCAACACAAATTAGTGAGAATGTACATTGAGAAAAAGGCCCTAATTAACCATAAAAAGCGTACTGGTGGTCACAGTGAAAATGTGTCCGTATTCGGGTTCTGCAATCCAAAGAACCTGAAGTTACCAATTTTCAAGTCGATGCATTAAAAAATGTTTATTCATTTTGGAAAAATCTGATTTTTATTCTTCAAATTCACCACGCAGAATGAGATAAGTTGCTTTGAATCAGTTTATATAAGGTAGATTCATGCAGCATCATTTATCAATTATCAAGTAACATTTATCAATTAACAATTATCAATTGACAAGTGATGAGGATATCGAAATTCATGCAAACCAAATGAATAATTGATGAATTAATAGTACGCAAGCGCACATGTTCATGATCTATGGTATCAAAGACAAAACCTTACAAATTCATTGTGTACAATTCATATAAGAACATGAAATTTTGAATTTCATAATATTTTCTGATCTGGAAGAGACTGGGTTACTTTCATTCACAAACAGTTTGATGATTGCAATCGTTTTATGTCGAAACACATTTCATAACATCTGTCAGATATTGGATCTGGCCACTCTGGCATTGGTCTGACCAATCCATGCCTTCTCTACCAGTCGATGAAACCAATCCGCGATCATCTGCGTACTAGTTGCGCACTAGAAGGAAATCGGTTCAACTAAAATAGGAATGTTGAAAGTTGGCTCACTTCTTACTTACTTGTTGATTGATAATTGTCAAAAATGTCTGCATGAAGACCTTCATTGGAAACAGAGAGTTTAACTTTCAATTGCTACCTGTTGAATTATAAATGTTACTTGATAATTGTTGAATGTTGCTGCATGAATCACCTTCTGACTTTAGGAATATGTGAGATATTGTAGAGACCTCTTTGGGACACTTTGTACTTACAAAACATGAAAAATTTTTATTCTGATCCCGATACGACTGTATTATTCAGTTTTCTCCAGTTACGTGAAGAGCTTATGAAATATTTCTACAGAGTAATTGAAGAGAAATACATCAAATATGTCTTGGTTTCGTGAATGTTCCATCATATTGCTATTGCTGATGATATTTCAGGAAATAATTAATGAGAAAAATTGAAATCATAATTAATCACGGAACTCGTTACGGGATGACTGAAATTCTGCCAGAAACTTCCTCAACAAGTTTACATAGTATTTCTTTCGTAGATTATCAGTATGACCCCAGATTGTTGATGATTAATATAGAGGTTGAGTTAGTCTGACAATGACTCAACATAGTAGGAAATAATGATATTCTGGTACTGATATTGGTTTTGGTCTGGTTGAAGCCTTTCAATTCAATTGATGTACCAAATTTGAACTCCATCAGGTCATCCCTGTATTTGATATGATAGATTGGATTCTTTTTCAGAATCCAATAATCACTCTGTTCGTCAGTAATATAAAGCGGTATTGGGCATTCGTACATGGCATTTCGCAATCATATTGACGTCATGAGTTTTGTCGGTTTCATCTCTGGAAACCCTTTATACCTCTCATATAGAATTGCATCGATACTGAGGAGGAAATTCAGAAAATATCAAATATTTGATGAATTTTGACGTATTTGTTTAGAAATCATCCTTATTTTTCCAGAAACGCTCAGGAAATATCCTCCAGCTCCCCATTTGAGTAGGCGATGTAATAGGGATTACATGCTTCCGGGAACTAATATCCTCATAGAAAAAGGAATGGCAGTATATTTGCCTGTATACGCAATACATATGGATCCCAGTAATTATTCAAACCCTACAGAATTCAATCCAGACAGATTCTCTAAGGAAAATTTGAAGCAGATAAAACCTTGTTCATGGCTACCTTTCAGTGTTGGACCTAGAAATTGTTTAGGTACGTATTTCGTTATTTGATGATGAACTAATGGGTTCTGCATATATGAGTATCACAAAAGAGAGAAATTCGAAGTCATTACCACATTAGTTTATGGAAGGAACATAAATGGTAAATAACAAAACAAAAACAACTTATTTCCTGGCTATATGCTACGCAGAACATTGGAGAATAAATTCGCAAGTGTTTCCTTCCTAAACGCCAAACTGCGCCTAAGTGGTTCAGGAACGTGTGACTACCTGCAGAACTGGTAGAGTAGTTGTTTTCTGTTGAATAATCCGAGGGAAACTTAATATTTCCATCACATAGACAATTCCAATACTCAATGTATTGTTTCATATTATGTATATCCATTTTTCCACGTTTATAATTTATCTAAGGATATTACTTTTCAATACTTTCACTCAATCGAGGGGTTCAAACTTGAACGATATAAACTTGTTATTTTCATATGTTTTCATAGACCTTTTTTCGCAAATTCGTGAATAGGTTTGTTCAGAATTCCTTTCTACGTCCTGTATGATGAATATCAATTTGTGATATATCCAAGATCAAAATAGATGAAACTATCATTACTTTGACGCCTCAAATCATCATATTCGACTCATCTCGAATTGAGATTTTGCAGACTGTTATTTACGTTCATCATAATGCAGACACTTTTTTTCAGGAGAGCGGTTCGCAATAATCAATTTCAAATCAGCTATAGCTAATATATTATATAATTACGAAGTAGAATTAGGAGAAGATGGCTTGTACGAGATGGATTTTCATCCTAGATCTTTCACTACAGCCCCGAAAGGAATGAAACTTCCCTTGAAATTCAAGAGGATTCATCGCGAACACACGAAATATCCTGAGTAAGATGTCCTAAATATTATTGGTTTGTAAGATTTTGAATATTCTGAATTATGAATAAAGAACCGTGAGTTACTGAAATTGTTTTTTTTATAGTTTGCAAAAAGAATGCAATGAAATGAAATGATTGGTTCTGAGAACGTGATATCTCATTGTGGAGTTTGATTCTAAACCCATGCATGTAGTCAAATTGGCCCCATTCATAAGTAATAGTCTCTAGAAAAGGCTTTCTCAATGCGAATCAAACTTCGTTCATCCAGAAGTTCTACCACAATATACTTCTTGGTAATAAACCCTTGATACAGCATCAGCTTAGAATCGGATAGTGTCGGGCATTTTTTACCAACATCCATCATTGTTTTTATTGTGTTTAGATATCATTTATGAATTGGTGAATTATGCATACTATTATCTGCTTGGTTCTACAGAAAACAAAATTGCATGTAATCTTCAAACTGAATGAACCATTCGGTTGTAACGGATCGATGGATGTTTCCCGCTCAATGCTGAATACTCAAGGAACTTCAGAGTAGAGTTTTTCATTTGCTTGCTACCTCCCTTTACCGAACCAAAATCCTAAAAATATCCTATGCGCCCTCTAGCGTCGGAGAGCCGAACATCTCAAGATGGCTTTCAAGGGGATCTGCATGGCAGAATCTGAGGTTCGTATATGTGTTTGGACGAGGACGCCACGTACTCTTTTCTTGTAGAAATTGTTTTTGTATTCAACTCCAGGAATGCGTCACCCTCTGAAATTTTAACTGCAGTTCCAAATAAATTTTGTTCACACTTAACGTGACTGAGCTCACTCTCTAACTGTTCCCGAAAAGTCATGAACCGTTCTGAGATCATCATTGAGTTCAATTCCACAACATAAAATAGGAGCTGCCGATCTGAACAGAATTATTTGAAGTTCTGATATCTGCAGTAAAGTCAGCTTTCAGTGTCGAACAAGTTGCATATCCTCCTGATTGGAATGTTGTTAACTCTATTTTCTCATTTTGGTATTATGCCTTAAATTTTGAGAAAGTTTTTTTTTTCTGCAAACTCTGTTCGTAACATGAATTATTCTTGAAGTTATTTGATAAGAATTATCATTGGGATCTCCAATATCAACAAAATCAATTATATCAGCAGCTATCTGCATAAAAGTAGTGTTGATTTCATTCTGTTCTTCCTCACAATCAAAAGGGTATGATGTTGATGCAACTTTGAAATCTGATGGTCTCATTTGTTTCTTTTCTAGGAGTTCTTTGAAATTTTTGTTGCCTCAACAACAGGTCTGGGAAATTCAACTTTGCGAATTGAAAGCTCATATTCAAGTTCGCGATCCATCGAATGGTTGCATTGAAATTTCTCGAAAAATACTCTGTATAAAACTCTTTATTCACCCTGTACACAAATCAGTAGAACCATTCTGTTAGTATATATACTGAAGAAAAATTATTTCTGATTTTATTCAGATATTAAAATCAGGGAATCACCCTGTATATCGATTCGAAAATGATAAATTACTGAGTTGAAGCATAACCCCAATATGATAATCAAGGAATCACCTCGTATGGCAAATTTGATGAATCACGCTATATATAAATAAATATCAGGGAATCAGCCTGTATTCTGAATGAGAAATCAGTTACAAAAATTATGAGGCAGTATTATAAGTCTGTATACTTGAATCGATCAAATTTCACCTGTGTATTCTGCAGAAATCGAATGAGGGTTTTCAACAGTATGAAAAATCCCATCGAACTAGGAAATAATTCCAATTAAGTTATCTTAAAATTCAATATGTTCCGGTACTTAACAGCGGAATTTTCAGAATCGACTCAATATAAGTAACTATACATTGATTAGTCAGAATCGTCACCTTGAACATATCAACATAATCAACATGAAGTACCTTCCTCAAGGCAAGCAAATTGTTTTCACTCATGAAAACAATAGGACTTGAAATAAAATATGTCATATGAAATATAAATTATGAATAATGAGTTATGAGCAGTTTTATGGATTTAAAGAAGATTCCGATTATTTTTCAAAAAACTGACCATACTTCCAGAGGTTCTGCCATTCTTGCTGAAATTTCTGTTTATTTCGAAACAAAAAACGCGGATTATGAAGCTGGCATATTAAAGAAGTAAGAAAATATATTCAGCAGAACTGTGGATTAGCAAATTGACAGGTTGAAAGGGCACCATTTTGGTGTAACGTATCCCAGTGAACATTCTCCTGTTCCTGAAATATTTCTGGAACGTAATATTTGATGCATGAAACATTCGAAGTTGCCTAGATGTTTCGGAAACATCTGGGGAACTAAAGGTGTTTGCTCTCAGGAATCTTTCATAGAAATGTTTCTGAAACATATTTCGAATACTAGAATCGAAACATAATGAATCATTTCGATCATGGTCATTTTCCGTAGGAATGTTTCATGCTTCGTTTCATCAATATTTGTTTCGCAATATAACCTGAAAAGTCCTATATGCTATTGATTATACATATTGCAATACAAATATTCATCCCAGACAGCACAAAGAGGTCCTGAAGATATCTTGAAGATATTCTTCTAGGAAGTTGTGATGGCTTTTGTAACTTCTTCGAGAGATCGCCGAGAGCGCTATATCTCCTTCAAATGCCCGCAACCTAGGCTGAGCTCAAATTCTCATACAATGCCCTCGGGCGAGCACATTGAAAAAATATAATATCAGATGTAATTGTTGAAAACAAATTCATGTTCTTGATGTTCCTGAAATTTCAGTAATGAACCTCAGACACTAACAAGTGGAATTAACTTTTTTGTGAGAATATAGTGCTTCATATTCATCTCAATGCATCGGAAATATATTTTTTGAGGTTCACTTGAAACTATAAGGACATTGAATATCAGATGCTATGGGTGAAAGCTAATCAATGTTTTTGATTTTCCTGAAATTTCATTAATGAATCTTATTTACACACAGATATAATCAAATTCTGTTGTAAAAATATATAGCGTCATATTCAACAAAATATATCGGTAATATGTTTTCACCGCTAACTACAGAAACTACTATTATTTACTTCTCAAGGCGTGAAGTGTGTTTTCACTACCAAGGAAGTTCTCGTCATTTTATGAACCACTAGTCAATACAGACATAGCCACTTCCGTTATTATAATCCCGAATTCACTGTTCTGATGCGATAGTCACAGAAATGGCACTCGAGTCTAGTAGGTTTTTATCAATACCGACTTGTCATATGCTGTCATGGTGACTATGCATTGATAAAAATTGAACAGTAGTGCTTTTATAGTGACATGTGTCCACAATTTAGTTCCACAGAACTATAATGATAATATGAAATATATTGCTAGTGGTAAAAGTAATATAAACCTTGGTAGTGAGCAATATAATTACCATGGGACCTTATACCCCTTTGCTGAAGCCTTAGGATTTAATTTTGGTCCCTATAGCTAATGATGATATTCTTCACTACCTTGGCGTTTTAATAACTATCATCTAGGTTTCATTCGGAACTACATATAGGCATGTTATATCAGCTGTTATAGCTTAAAACGAATCAATGTTTTTAGTGTTCTTGGAATTTCAGTGATAAACCACAATAACTCGGAAGTTGAATCAACTTCTATTGTGAAAATATAGTGCGTCAACTAGTCGATGATATAGTGTTCTGAGTTCTATCATAATATGGTTAAAAACAAAAATATGTTTTTTCTGTGACGGGAAAAAAGTTTGGCATTTCATCTCTGTTGGCAGGTTATAAAATGTCACTTTTCATAAATTACTTTTTTCCCGTGGGAAAAAAGTGAGTACTTTTTTCCCGGATATATATTACATATACATACTCTGTTAATGGCTTTTGTTGTGCTATAGTTCCGAAAAATGAGAATAATACCGTCTCCGAGAAAGAACTGCAAGTCCTTTTATCTTCCATTCGACTTCGCGGTTTCGTATATTACTAAACAACTACTAAATTCGCAATTTTTTAATATCAAATCACAGAATTGAACTTTCAGAAGTGACATCAGATATTTGATTACTTCAAAAGAATGATAAAGATGTCTATAAAACGCAGGTGTCCCTACTGTTGAAAACTTGAAATTTCACGTCGATAATTTTCAGATTTCGAAATAATGTAATATCTTCTCAATATTGATTCGTCCTTCCTTCTGTCACAGAAAAAAATAGTGTATTATACACGGGAAAAATATTAGATTTTAGCTCACGGTTTTTTGTCTCCCTCCGCTACGCGTCGGGAGACAACACAACCTGGAGCTAAAATCTTCTACTTTTTTCCCTTGTATAATAAATAACTATTTCAATGTTCCTGAAACTTTACTGATCATCATTAGTTACTTGTGAATGAAATCAACTTTTATTCTAAACATATAGTGTGTCTTATTCAACTCGAATTCGTTTTTCTATGTTTCCCACATATTAGTAATGAAAACGAGTTATACCTGTGTATCATATATTATTTGATATCTACGTAGGAGTGAGCGTAGGGTTCATCTTCCCGTCATATCGAAAGCAACTCCATTTTATGAATTACCCTTATCGAATTTCCGATAATTGTACTGTTGGGGAGATTATAAGTGAAAATAGATTGAGGTGTAGCTTGAAAACAGAAGACAGACTAAGAATACTTTTTATTTCGGTACTAATGAGAGATTTTTGAGATAATAGATCATGGTTTTCTCGTGAACATTGCACTGAGGACAAAGCACTCATTAACATTTCTTGTTATGTCTGAGTTAATGACTGTTATTCAATTTCTAATCATATATACTCATGTCACGTATAAAAATAGCACCGAGGGCTAATTACCATAACTGAAGACGTTTTATTGGGAGTTCTTTAATCAACTTCATTGGACTTCTTGTAATGACAAATAATGTCCAAATCTATGATAATTACCGCAGACGAGTGAATTTTAATCATATTACCATTACTTTTTATCGAATTACCATCCTAGGAAAATTTGATGACGATCTTTGACGAATG